AGGTACGCGGCGGTCTCTAAAGCATAGCCCCAGAAGGACTTCGGAAGATCTGTCTGACTCATCATTGACCGAACCATGTCTAACAGTGTTCGGTTCCTCCGTTCTGACACGCCGTTCCATTGTGGTGTTCCAGGAGGTGTTAATTGTGATACAATACCACAATCAATCAGATAGTCAGTGAACTCTTGGCTCATATACTCGCCACCACGATCGGATCGAAGTGTCTTGATCGTCTTGCCAAGTTGGTTCTGTACTTCGTTTCTGAAAGCCTTGAACATTTCAAGTGTTTCAGACTTATGTCTCATTAAATAGACATAACCGTATCGACTGAAATCATCAGTGAACGTAACGAAATACAGATAACCTCCTCTAGCTGGACAGCTCATTGGTCCGCATACATCACTATGTATCAGGTCCAATAATTCTGTCGCTCTCTGTCCTTTCCCTTTGAAAGGATGCTTTGTCATCTTGCCCATTAAACAAGACTCGCATGATTCAAGAGACTCAAAGTCAAATGAATCCAGAAGACCTTCAGAATGAAGCTTCTGTATGCGTTTCTCGTTTATATGGCCTAGACGACAATGCCAGAGGAAGGTTGGGTTTAAGTCGTTCGGCTTAAACCGTTTAGTACTCACGCTATAGATGGATGATGTCGAGTTCGAAGGCTGATCATTAGAGACGTATAAACCATTAACTAGATAACCATTACCATAGTAAATATCGTCTCGATAAATCATCAAACTCGAGTTCTCAATCACAAATCGAAAACCATCCAGATCCAGACAAGAAATAGAAATAATGTTTCTGCTAATCGCAGGAACATAGTAACAATTACTAAGCTCTAAAACAAGTCCAGAAGGAAGATGCAAATCATAAACGCCAACACAGAATGGAGCAACTCTTGCTCCATTTCCGACGCGTAGATCCGCTTCTCCCTTATCTAGCATCCTACTTCTTCTTAGTCCCTGCACATTTCCACAAATGTGTGAGGCACTTCCGGTATCCAATACCCAAGAAGATATAGTACAGATGTTAGCTTCTATAACATGAATACCTGAGGCAGAAGCTTCACCAAGCTTCTTATCCTTCAGATCCTCCAAGTAAAGGTGACAATTACGCTTCCGGTGTCCAGACACTCCGCAGTAATGACAGTCACCCTTATCGGGCTTAGGCTTGGGCGTAGAGGCAACTTTTGCCTTTTTCGCCGCCTTCTTTTTGGCTTTACCCCGCCGCTTCTTGCTGGAGTTCTTCTCCACAGCAAGCACAGTCTTGGAGCTTAGTAATTGTTACTATGTTCCTGCGATTAGCAGAAACATTATTTCTATTTCTTGTCTGGATTTGGATGGTTTTCGATTTGTGATTGAGAACTCGAGTTTGATGATTTATCGAGACGATATTTACTATGGTCATGGTTATCTAGTTAATGGTTTATATGTCTTGAATGATCAGCCTTCGAACTCGACATCATCCATCTATAGCGTGAGTACTAAACGGTTTAAGCCGAACGACTTAAACCCGACCTTCCTCTGGCATTGTCGTCTAGGCCATATAAACGAGAAACACATACAGAAGCTTCATTCTGAAGGTCTTCTGGATTCTTTAGACTTTGAGTCTCTTGAATCTTGCGAGTCTTGTTTAATGGGCAAGATGACAAAGCATCCTTTCAAGGGGAAAGGACAGAGAGCGACAGAGTTATTGGATCTGATACATAGTGATGTGTGTGGACCAATGAGCTGTCCGGCTAGAGGAGGTTATCTGTATTTCGTTACGTTCACTGATGATTTCAGTCGATACGGTTATGTCTATTTGATGAGACATAAATCTGAAACACTTGAAATGTTCAGGGCCTTCAGAAACGAAGTACAGAACCAGCTTGGCAAGACGATCAAGACACTTCGATCCGATCGTGGTGGTGAGTATATGAGCCAAGAGTTCACTGACTATCTGGTTGATTGTGGTATTGTATCACAATTAACTCCTCCTGGAACGCCACAATGGAACGGCGTGTCAGAACGGAGGAACCGAACACTGTTAGACATGGTTCGGTCTATATGAGTCAGACAGATCTTCCGAAGTCCTTCTGGGGCTATGCTTTAGAGACCGCCGCGTAC